GAGGGATAGACAGCTTTATCATGGGACCAACTTATGGGACGGCTATGGTCTCTTAAAGCGTCTCTTGTCTCGTCCAAATCTTTCTTGTACTTCTTATTTTACTGAGTACATAAAGTTTAAAACTAAATTTGAATCTAACATATCTCTAAATTTCCTTGATACTCACATGTCCTCCTCTCTCTGACTTTTTAATTTTTTTTCCCGTCTGCCTCAAACATGCACAGTGACATGCATGTTCACTATTTTTCTTCACCTGCACAATCTGTTAAGAGAAATGTTATTGTCTCTCTCCCTCTGCTCCATCAACATTTGTAATCCTCAATTTCTTGATTCTAAAATTTTCGTTCTTCGCAATTTATGCTCTTGTCATGGCTATCCTCCTGATTTTATAAACTGCCTCCTTTCATGGTTAAAAGACCTCTCCTAAACTTACTTCTCACTTGGTAGCTGCGTCTGCTCGCATACTGTTTGACAGGAGTTTGATTCCCGGCACTAGTGAAACGTGGGACATGTTTTATTAAATCTGCTGCTCCTAGTAGTAGATACCAGAGTGTTAAGCAACTGGTGTAGGACGCATCCTGGGGAAGAGGATTAAGGGGCACGTAAGCTCCCTCGACTTTTAATAACATGTTCATTTTTCCACCATAATCTACCGTCTCCATAATTACTATCGCATTTGCCCCTCTTAAATAACGCATGCAAAATGTTTGCCTTGCTGACACCAGCAACGCTCTTTTCTGTCGCGTGAAAGATCGAAGCCATTCCATAAGCTGGTCCTCTGCTAAAACTATATATCCTCTTTAGTAACCTTCATAGAAGCCGTCTTGGTGAGTCGGCTCTTATACACAAATTCATAACATGAATCATAGGATAGGTTTTCTCTGAAGCTTCTTTCCCAGTACACCCAGTCCGTCATCCCCATCATTCTGACACCCAGTCCGTCATCCCCATCATTCTGACACCCAGTCCGTCATCCCCATCATTCTGACACCCAGTCCGTCATCCCCATCATTCTGACACCCAGTCCGTCATCCCCATCATTCTGACTCCAATAACATCACCACCGTCCCCTCCCCGCCACTATACTATACCCTTTTTTGTCTTGTCTTCTCTGCCCCCTTGCCCCAACCACAACAACCTGCATCAACAACAATCACAAGAACAAAAAGTTCTAATCTTCTCAATCGACACGATGAATAATGAAAAGTGGATGAGGTCCTATGAATAGCGAGGCGGGTAACGAGAAATAAATGAATGACTCGTTAAGATTATTGCCATGCACGGTACTGAATGGTAATAAATAATTTAGAATAGTGATAGATAATCGATAATGATGCATGCGTCTGTGGGAAGAAACAAGAGGGAGGTAGGGAGGGTAGAGAGGAGAGAGGGAGGGAGAGTAGATGGGTGAAAGGAAAAAAAGAAAAAGGAGGAAGGGAGGTTGGAAAGTAGAGAGAGAGGGGGGGGGAGAATAGTTGGGTGGAAGAATAAGGAGGAACGGAGGATGGAAGTGTTGGAAGGAGAATGGGAAGGAGAAATGGATGGGGGCAAGAGAGAGAAATGAAGAAAAAAGAGACGGGGGTAGGGAGAGCAAAAAAGGTAGAGGGAGCGAGGGCTAGGGAGAAATAGATAGAAACAGAAGGGAAGCAAGGGGGAGATGCAAGTGTAAGAAGGGGGGTAGGAGGAGAAGGAAAGGGATAGAAAAGTGTGAATGGAAAGGGATATGAATAGGAAGGGAGGGAAGTAGAAAGGTTGGAAGAGAAATGGGGGGATTAGAAATAATAAATTAGAGGGGTTGAGAGGGAAAAAGTAAGGATAGGAAGGGAGAGAGAGAGGAAGGGAGGGATGGGAAGGGAGGGAAAACGGAATGGAAAAATAAGTGAAGGGCTGGTGCGTGCGCTGAGTACTTTATTCTGCATGTACCAGAACAAGCATGAATCCTGCAACGTCTGGAAATGAGAGGCCATCAGGGTCGATCCAAGGAAGAGGAGGCTAAGGTTTAATTCCTTGGATCAAAAGCTCCCTTCACTAACGTCAAGGAACCTGTCATGAGGGAGGATTATTACTGCATTCATAGGGGAGCGCTAAATCCGTAAGGGTCGTACACTTCCAGTGAATGGGAGAAAATCAGATTCGATCCAAGAAAGAGAAAGATAGCTCTAATTCCTTGGACGAAAAGTCGTTCATCATGTGTCCCGTAGCTCGATTGCTAGCTCACTCAGCTCACACACCGAGGTCCGGGGATCGATCCTCTGTACGGGTAGCAACATTAGGACGTGTTTCATTAAGCCACCTGTTGTCCATGTTAACCCATCAGTAAAATAGGTACCTGGGTGTTAGTCGACTGGTGTGGGTCGCATCCCGGGACAAAATTGACCAATTTGCCCGAAATGCTCTACATAACAAGGGACTTTCTGTATAGTAGCATGTCATTGATGTCACTTAGACCTGTATACCTCGTACATGTACTTGTAGAAACAAAGATTATTATTATTATTATTATTATTATTATTATAGGCACCTATTCTCTTGCTTAGGCAGAGTCGAGTTCCTCAAACTAATTGAACTGTCCGAAAAATAGATCTTTTCGAAAATATTATGCATTGGTGATACAATCTTGTGAATTAACATGGTATGCCTGAAACCTAAAACACACACACACACACACACACACACACACACACACATCATGTGGGAGTTCGAACACGTGGATTGGGTAAAAATACTCACGTAGGCTGGAAGTACGTATATTGTAACTGAAGTATGTGGAAGGGCGCCACAGCCGAACCTGCCTCTCTCTGCCCCTTGGCTAGACTGACTAAGGAGTGCCCATGGGCGAGGGGGCGCTTGAAATCCTGCTAGGTCAGCAACAATATGAATACAGACAGTGACTCAGGCAGAGACGGTTGGTAGTGAGTCATCTACTGGTACACTGGTAACTGGTAACTGGTTACTACTACTGAGACACACACACACACACACACACACACACACACACACACACACACACACACACACACACACACACACACACACACACACACACAATCACACAATCACACAATCACACACACACACATACACACACACACACACACACACACACACACACACATACAACACACACACACACACAACACACACACACACACACACACCACACACACACACACACAACACACACACACACACACACACAACACACAACACACACACACACACACAAGACAAAGATGTTCCAGAGATTGGACACAGTAACAAGGGGACACAGTTGGAAGCTGAAGACACAGATGAATCACAGGGATGTTAGGAAGTATTTCTTCAGCCACAGAGTAGTCAGTAAGTGGAATAGTTTGGGAAGCGATGTAGTGGAGGCAGGATCCATACATAGCTTTAAGCAGAGGTATGATAAAGCTCACGGCTCAGGGAGAGTGACCTAGTAGCGATCAGTGAAGAGGCGGGGCCAGGAGCTTGGACTCGACCACCGCCCATATTGGAGTATGCGGCACCAGTTTGGAACCCACACCTAGCCAAGCATGTAAAGAAACTAGAGAAAGTGCAAAGGTTTGCAACAAGACTAGTCCCAGAGCTAAGAGGTATGTCCTACGAGGAGAGGTTAAGGGAAATCAACCTGACGACACTGGAGGACAGGAGAGATAGGGGGGACATGATAACGACTTACAAAATACTGAGAGGAATTGACAAGGTGGACAAAGACAGGATGTTCCAGAGACTGGACACAGCAACAAGGGGACACAGTTGGAAGCTGAAGACACAGATGAATCACAGGGATGTTAGGAAGTATTTCTTCAGCCACAGAGTAGTCAGGAAGTGGAATAGTTTGGGAAGAGATGTAGTGGAGGCAGGATCCATACATAGCTTTAAGCAGAGGTACGATAAAGGTCATGGTTCAGGGAGAGTGACCTAGTGGCGACCAGTGAAGAGGCGGGGCCAAGAGCTTGGACTCGGCCCCTGCAACCTCAACTAGGTGAGTACAACTAGGTGAGGTGAGTACACACACACACACACGAGACCTGGACAGACTGGACACCTGGTCCAGCAACTGGCTTCTCGAATTTAACCCCGCCAAATGCAAGTCATGAAGATCGGGGAAGGGCAAAGAAGATCGCAGACGGAGTAAAGGCTAGGTGGCCAAAGAGTGCAAACCTCACTCAAGGAGAAAGATCTTGGGGTGAGTATAACACCGAGTACGTCTCCGGAAGCACACATCAACCAGATAACTGCTGCAGCATATGGGTGCCTGGCAAACCTGAGAACAGCGTTCCGATACCTTAGTAAGGAATCGTTCAAGACACTGTACACCGTGTATGTCAGGCCCATACTGGAGTATGTAGCACCTGTTTGGAACCTACACTTAATCAAGCACATCAAGAAAATAGAGAAATAGCAAAGGTTTGTGACAAGGTTAGTTCCAGAGCTAAGGGGAATGTCCTATGAAGAAAGGTTAAGTAAGGGAAATCGGCCTGACGACACTGGAGGACAGGAGGGTTAGGGGAGACATGATAACGACATACAAAATACTGCGTGGAATAGACAAGGTGGACAGAGACATGATGTTGAGGATGTTCCAGAGACGAAGCTGAAGACCCAGATGAGTGAAAGGGATGTTAGGAAGTGGTTCTTCAGTCAGAGAATAGTCAGGAAGTGGAATAGCCTAGCAAATGAGGTAGTGGAGGCAGGAACCACACATAGCTTTAAGATAAGGTATGATAAAGCTCATGGAGCAGGGAGAGAGAGGACCTAGTAGCAGTCAGTGAAGGGGCGGGGCCAGGAGCTGAGTCTCGACCCCTGCAATCACAATTAGGTGAGTACACACACTAACATTCAGTTTGTTATCGTTGCGTTATAAGCCCAACTGGCGAGGTCTGGCTAAAGAGCACGACATGAACATAACTGTGACACTGATGGTCATTCCCCCTGGAAAGCCTGTCTTCCACCCACTACTCCACACTGCTTCACTTAAGGTTATTAACACTCACCTAAGACCACTTGTAGCACCTGCACCTCCACCTGAACCTCCCTCCTCCACAAGGTTGTCCCTGATGTTCGTTCCTTGTAGTAGGCAACAAGGTGGTACCTGCCAGGGGTTTCGTAGATGTAGGTGAGCGTGTACATTGCCCCAGGTGGAGTCATCTTGCACTCTAAGTCATAGCTCGGTGGGATGAGGTCAGGATCGTTATTAGGGGACAACAGTCGAGTCAGATTTGGACACACTTCCGCTGAGGAGAGGCGAGGACCAGTATCCCTGATTGTTTGAGAGCTTCCCGGTAGTTTATCTGGCAGCAAGTCGCTTCTTTCCTCTCTAGAAGGTATCATATTGTTCTGGTGTTCAGAAGGTATTTTGTCATTTTCTTGGTGTCCGAAAGATAAATCGTTTCTCTGGTATCCGGAAGAAAGTTTGTTGTTTCTCTGATGTTCTAAACTCTTTACATCGTTGTCCTTATGTCCGAAAGGTAGCATATCGTTCACCTGATGTTCAAAAAGTGGGGGGTCACAGTCCTTATTTACGAAAGTTGGCTGTGTACTTTCTATGTCATAGATCTCATTACCTCCATCACCCTCAGTTACAATTCTGTCACTTTCAGCAGCCGAGGAAAACCGTGAATTGGAGTCGCTTCCGTGACCTCTCCTCTGACTTCTTTGGGGTCAAGGTCATCAGAGATGGAGACGAGGAAGGTCGCCTCACTGCCATCGCCCGCCTCCAGGTGGATCCAACCTTCTTTGTTTACACCTGGGAAAGGAAAACATCTTACTGTCACACAAATATAATTGTATCTCTGGGCTGAGCTGTTTAACATAGATTAACATACATATAAAGATTAACAAGCATCATATATCGTTACTAAAATCAAGATTTAACGATGTGTTGTAAGAAGCATCAGCATATTCGGGCCGTCTCACCTCTATAATAGGAGAGAGATGAGATTGTTTATGTATGAAAGAGAACCTCCATATGGCGCGGAGGTCTAAGACGAGAACAGATAAACTCTAAATGAAAACTGAACGATGATATTTCGGTCCGTCCTGGACCATTATAGAGCTACTGACGACTTGATGATGATCTGGGACTGGCTGAAACGTTGTCTGACTGTAATTTATAATTTGTGGTCTTATGGTGTGTTCCAGCAACGGTGTTATGGTTCATATTTTTTGGATTAAAGCGCTCAGTGCCACCAGCTGCAGTTATGTCAAATTTGCACTAATGTCCCTCCCCTAACCATCCCTCCCCTATTGACACAGATACTTTCCCCCCCCCCCTTCCCTGTCGACACAAATACCCTCCCCCTTCCCTGTAAACACAAATAACCTCGCCCTTCCCTGTAGACACAATCTCCTCTCCCCTGTAGACACAAATAACCATTCCCCTTTTTTCCTTATCTACACAATTAACTTTCCCCTCCTTTATCTATTCATATACGACCTATAAAATGTATATATGTAACTATACCTTGTAACCTACTTAGACATACCTGTGACCGGGTTCGAGGGTTCTGTTCTCACAGTCCAGCCTGTTCAGCCATGCTGTTGGTGCTAGCGGCCTGTAGGCCCACTGCGATTACAATCTAGTTGCTCAGACACTTGCAGAAGATAGTCTAACTTGCTCTTAAAGTCTTCTAAAATTTGTTCCAGCGATATTTTTAATAGCTGCTGATTGTAGATTCTTGGACCACGAATATGGGGAGTGTTTCCTAATTTTATCTTTGGCGGCTCTGCTTTCTTCTGGATTTATTCTTCACTTTCTCCCATAACTTGTCCTCCACTAAGTTATAACAGTGTGCAGGTTAGGGACCAAACCCTCATGATTCTTCTGTGCACTGTATATATCATCAGGTATTTCTCCCTTCTCCGTTCCATGGAAAATAATCAAAGCGCTTTAAGGCGTTTCTAATAATTTAGATGTTTTATCGATGCTGTGCGGATAATATACGACCTCAGTACATTCTCCAGCACTGCTTACTCTCCTCTCTCTCCTTCCTGGAGGTTACCTGGAGGTTATTCCGGGGATCAACGCCCCCGCGGCCCGGTCCATGACCAGGCCTCCCGATGGATCAGGGCCTGATCAACTAGGCTGTTACTGCTGGCCGCACGCAGTCCAACGTACGAGCCACAGCCCGGCTGATCCGGCACTGACTTTAGGTATCTGTCCAGCTCTCTCTTGAAGGCAGCCAGGGGTTTATTGGCAATTCCCCTAATGCTTGATGGGAGGCTGTTGAACAGTTTTGGGCCCCGGACACTTATGGTGTTTTCTCTTAGTGTACCAATGGCGCCCCTACTTTTTATTGGCGGCATTTTGCATCGCCTGCCCAGTCTTTTACTTTCGTAGGGAGTGATTTCTGTGTGCAGATTTGGGACCATTCCTTCCAAGATTTTCCAAGTGTAGATTATGATATATCTCTCCCTCCTGCGTTCCAACGAGTACAAGTCAAGTGCTTCCAAGCGTTCCCAGTAGTTAAGGTGCTTGACAGAACTTATACGTGCAGTAAAGGATCTCTGTACACTCTCTAGATCTGCGATTTCACCTGCTTTGAATGGAGATGTTAATGTACAGCAGTATTCCAGCCTAGAGAGAACAAGTGATTTGAAAAGGATCATCATGGGCTTGGCATCTCTCGTTTTGAAAGTTCTCATTATCCATCCTATCATTTTCTTTGCACGTGCGATCGTGGCACTGTTGTGATCCTTGAAAGTGAGATCCTCAGACATTACTACTCCCAGGTCCCTTACATTATTTTTCCGCTCTATTGTATGGCCGGAGTCAGTAGTATACTCTGTTCTAGTTATTATCTCCTCAGTTTTCCATAACGGAGTAGTTGGAATTTGTCCTCATTGAACATCATATTGTTTACCGTTGCCCACTGGAAAACTTGTTTATATCTTCTTGGAGGTTAACCGCGTCCTCAGCAGATGACAGCCTCATGCAGATCCTAGTATCATCCGCAAAGGATGATACGGTGCTGTGGTGTATATCTCTTTTTATGTCTGATATGAGGATAAGGAATAAGATGGGGGCGAGTACTGTGCCTTGTGGAACAGAGCTCTTCACTATGGCAGCCTCCGATTTACCTCTGTTGACCACTACTCTTTGTGTTCGATTTGTTAGGAAGTTGAAGATCCATCTCCCCACTTTCCCAGTTATTCCTTTAGCACGTATTTTATGGGCTATTACGCCATGATCGCATTTGTCAAATGCTTTTGCAAAGTCTGTGTATATTACATCTGCATTCTGATTTTCTTCCAGTGCATCCAAGGCCATGTCATAGTGATCCAGTAGTTGTGAGAGGCAGGAGCGACCTGCCCTGAACCCATGTTGCCCTGGATTGTGCAGATTTTGGGAATCCAGGTGATTTGCAATCCTGCTTCTTAGCACTCTTTCAAAGATTTTTATGATGTGGGACGTCAGAGCTATTGGTCTATAGTTCTTAGCTAATGCTTTGTTGCCACCTTTATGGAGTGGGGCTATATCCGTTGTTTTAAGTGACTGTGGAATTTCACCCATGTCCAAGCTCCTCCTCCATAGTGTACTTAGGGCACGCGAGAGGGGTTTCTTAATGAAAACAGAGTTCCACGAGTCTGGGCCCGGGGCTGAGTGCATAGGCATGTTGTCAATGGCTTTTTCGAAATCTATCGGAGTTAGGGTAATGTCGGAAATCTGGCATACATTTATGGAGTTTTGAGGCTCATTCATGAAGAAATCATTTGGGTCGTCGATCCTCAGACCGATTAGTGGTTCACTAAACACAGAGTCGTACTGGGATTTCAATATTTCACTCATTTCCTTGTTGTCATCTGTGTAAGTCCCATCCTGTCTGAGTAAGGGCCCGATACTAGATGTGGTATTTGCCTTGTTTTTGGCATATGAAAAGAAATATTTTGAATTTCTTTCAATTTCACTAATAGCTTTAAGCTCCTCCTGCCTCTCCTGGTTCCTGTAAGAGTCATTTAGCTTAAGTTCGATAGTTTCCACTTCCCTGGTCAGCGCTCCTTTCATGTATCAGATATTCTAGCACTCCTGAGGAGCTCAGTGACTCTTCGTCGTCTTCTGTAGAGGGAGCGTCTTTTTCTCTCCAGTTTACTCCTGCTCTTCTTCTTTCTTAGGGGAATATGCCTAGAACATGCTTCGGCTACCAGGAAGTTGATCCTTTCAAGGCACTGGTTTGGATCCATGTCTTTTAAAGACATCTTCCCCAAACATGTTTCGTTTGGGGACATGGTTTACCTGGTCCAGTTGATGTTCTTGTTGAAATTGTATTTTGTGAAGAAAACCTTCACAGGTACATGCTTTCTGCTGTTCGGGGACCCCTATGCATGTACGTCTGGACTTCGATTAGATTGTGATCGGAATTAGTTGTTTTTGATATTTTACTTTCTCTTACAGGTCCTCATTATCTGTGAAGATAAGGTCAAGTGTGTTTTCTAGTCTTGTTGGCTCCACTATCTGCTGGCTTAAGGTGTGTTTTTCGCAGAGACTTAGTAGCTCATGTGTGTGTGACCTTTCATCTGCGCTACCTCGGGGATTGTTTCAGCTTAACATTATTGCTACATTCTTCCATTTTGTATGCCTTAGGTTGAAATCACCAAGCAGTAAGATGTTTGGGGATGGAGCTGGAAGGTTTTCCAAACAGTAATCGATTTTCAGTAGCTGTTCCTTGAACTGTTGTGAGGTTGCATCTGGTGGCTTGTATACAACCACAATGACTAGGTTTTGGTTCTCGATCTTTTTTGATAGAACTTCAACTACCTCATTTGTGGTGTTCAGCAACTCTGTGCAGATAAGGGACTCTTTGACATACAGGCCAACCCCCCCTTGTTCCCTGTTTTTTCTGTCGCATCTAAAAAGGTTGTAACCACTTATCCATATTTCACTGTCAAAGTGATCTTTTGTGTGAGTCTCTGTGAAGGCTGCAAACATTGCATTAGACTCCACTAGAAGTCCACTGATAAAAGGTATTTTGTTGTTGGTGGATGGCTTAAGGCCCTGTATATTAGCAAATATGAACGAGGTTGTATTCTGTGTTTGTTGGGGGGATTTTGTTATTGGCATCAGTAGTTGTAATTCTGGAGGGCCATGAGTGGCCACTGGCTGCGCCTCCAGTCCAACAAGGCTCCAAGGTGGTGGACTATTTGGTGAAATGAATTCAGGGTTCACCTGAGGAAGTTGGTCTTTGAAATTAGTAAGGTTGAAACGTCTGGGTACAATGACCAAAACGTCGTCAATGTATCTCAGCCATGGCGGGGAATAATATATTTGAACTAGTCCCTTTCTAGGTGACCTAAGTAAATGTTAGCTAAGACTGCACTAGGTGGTGATCCCACTACCATTCCGCATTTCTGGCAGAGTCCAGGCATGAATCTCCATATCCAGTGGATGTGGAAGAACAGTTTTAGCAGAGCTTAAGTGGTGGTAGTTTATCCACCAGGAAACAGGACAAATGTTTCCTGACATGGGTCTTAGTCATATGAGGGCCAACTAACTGGAGCTTTTGGTTTTATGGGCGAGGCCTTCCACTGGCTTGTTGGTCCACTACCATAAAAAAAATTATTTCACTTCATAGAATTTGTAACATTAGAGCCCAAGTACTGGTCTCTGTCGGCTGCGAAACTGGAATACACATTAGACGAAGTCTTAAGACTTAAGTCTGAAGAGTGTCTGATCACCCATCCTAAGTACTTCACCACACTCTATTACACCTAAGTATCTGTTAACTGATAGGTGAACATAAGTAATAGACA